AGTTAAACAATTTTTTTGACAATTCCACTGATTGGTTTATATTCAATGATGCGGTCATGCAAAACTAAGCAATAAGGTAGTCCAAGTTTGGTGGGGGAAATGCAATATGGCTGACATCAGCTGATTTACCGGAGGACAAACAATGCATTGAATTCAATGGGACAAATCAGTTTTTTAACCATAACTTTTTAAATATTCATTTTTGAACCATAGTGTAATGGAAAATTATTCTTTATTTATCGAAATCTATTTTTTAAAACAATAAAACCAAAAAATTAAATTTTATTGTTTTAAAAAATAGATTTCGATAAATAAAGAATAATTTTCCATTACACTATGGTTCAAAAATGAATATTTAAAAAGTTATGGTTAAAAAACTGATTTGTCCCATTGAATTCAATGCATTGTTTGTCCTCCGGTAAATCAGCTGATGTCAGCCATATTGAATTTCCCCCACCCAACTTGGACTACCTTATAAGCTGAAGTATTAGCGGGAAAATTTTCTTTTGATTCAAATTCTAAGCGGATATCAACTGGTCCACTTTTTAAAGATTCATTTTGTTTTGAACAATCTACTACAACTAAAGGAGCATATTGTAAAAATTCTTTTTTTGATAAAATTGGTTGAGACTCTTTACTATAATAAGATGCTTGAAAATTTGTAAACATTTCATATAAAGTAGAGTACTGATTTCTATTAATATTGAGATTCATGTTACTCTAAGGATAACATTGTGAATCTAAAAATAATTTTACATCAGATAAATCACAGTGATCGAAACAACTAGAGTTTTAAACTGTATTATTTTTTCTGTTTCTCTGAAATCCTAATACAATAAATCTAGGTTTCTCTAATTGACTTGAAGTTTTTACACTCCAAATATGCTTAGGAGTAATTGGTAATAAAGGATATTCATACAATTCCCAAGTTCTAAAACTTATTGGAATAGATGGATCTTTTTCAATATATTTTAATAATTTAAATTTTCGAGCATCTGATAATTTTATGTATGGTAATAACCATACAAATTTAAAACTTTTAAATAAAAATTTATAAAATTATTATTTTAAATTTAAATTTTAAATTTTTTCAATAACAATTTTAAACTCTTCTAAAGGTGCTACTTGCAACACTGCGTTAGCATCCATTCTTGATCTGATTAAAATAAGCTCATGTTTAGCGTTATTAATAACTTTTTGGTAATCTTCAGCAAAACCAAAAATCATACTTAAAAGAATACAAACATCAAAATAACCTTGTGCATTTGTTAAGGTTGGTTTATTTGTAAATTCTATCCAACCAAAATTTTCAAGAAATTTATTTTGACTAGCATCCAGAGAAATATAATTTTTCATTAAACTTGTAAGACCAACATTTTAATTTTTATCAATTTCTACACCATTAAGTTCATACTTTGCTTCTTCAAATAAATGACATATGCCATTAGAAATTAAATTTGTACGCTCTAGAGCTGTTCCATCAGGTTTCACGAGTTTTCCAGTTATGTGAATCGAGCTTTTGCTTGGAAATAAGCAATGATCCTGATTTTGTACCGTGATGCGGATTTCGTCACTATTGTTGTATGTTGATGAGGTATATGGTTGTTGCGCATGAACTTCATAATGAGCAATAGATTCATCAAAAATTACTGGTGAATCAATATTTAAAATTTCCCCTTCCATAGCAAATAATAATACGTTGAAATACAAAGGCACAAATACAAGTAAAAATAACCTTAAATCTCTTTTTTACTCTCTTCCTTTTTACAATCTTTAGACCGAGATTTTTTAGTAGTTGTAGGTTCTGAGGTGATAATCTCTTCAAGATTCGCCGACGACTGATTTGCTTCTGGCATGGTGTCTTAATTTTATAACCAAAACCAATCCTTTTTCTATTATTAAAAACAATACCTATTACTTTAAGGATTTAATATGAAGCCTTATTGTTAAAGTTTCCCCTCGAAAATTAACTAAATTTCCGTCTTGGTCTACAATTCGCAACTGAATATAGTCTATTGTCTTGACAGCGACTGGCAAGTAAATGACGTGATTTAGTACTTCCACTATTTTATATCCTGGTGGAACAATAGGAAAAAATTCATGAATTGTATGCACTTTTTCACCATTAATGTATGCTCCCGTTGTTATATTACATTCTACTCTTAATGAATTTATTTTAATGATTGATACTGGTTGATCAGACTCATGGTATTCTTGAGCTTTTAATTTGAGAGGAGAAAATCCTAACAAACTACCTATAGAATCATTGGGTTTAAAATTAATTTCTTCATCACAATAAACTGTACATTTCAATGTATTATTGTTTGGTTTGATTCTAAAATTAATTCCTTTATTTTTTGAAATTAAATGCAAAACTTGATCAATATCACTAACTTCATAACTTCCTGTGGGTATAATAATTTCTTCATTTCCTACGTAAAATTTATTCTTTCCAACATCTTTATTAGGAATAGAATTAAAAGTTAAAAATTCAACAAGACCAAGAGCATAATTTTTAAAATTATACAACTCTATTGGTGGAAAAAATTGAGATTCTAAAATGGAAGAATTTCCAGACAACGTTAAAATAAGTGAATCGTCCATGATGAGGTCAAATTAATAACTGACATTTAAACTAAGAATATCATTTATTTATATGCAGAGTATACAAATCAGGAATATTCAATTGTTTACATAAAAATTTAAGACATAAATGTCCGCATACATATGTATTATAGTTTTGATATCGTTTATGATTATATTTTATGCTACCAACACCAAAATATTTAACAAGATCCGAAGGTGGTCGAAGATTACCAAAGCTATCAAAATATATGATTTTATCTTTATTCTTTTTATAGGCACACCAGTGTGTACCAGGACCATTTTTATCATCTAGATTAATAATTGCAAATTCATTTTCTTTAGGACCACGCATAGGTAGTTCATTTCGCATAAAAACTCCTCGAAATAATGGAATTTTTAAACTTTTTGCAAATTTTAGTAAATCTAAGTCTGTTAGCGCACGGTGAGGTAGCTTTACTTCAAGTTTTTTGACTTGCATCCTTGCCTTACTTTATATGGTTTTAGATGAAGGCCTAGTCCTGCTTTATATGGTTTTAAAAAGAGACCTTTTCCTAAGGCAATAGATTCCATTGTTTGATTATGTCGCTTGCTTTCCTCTAGTTGACGTTTTGCAGAATTTGCATCATTTACAGCTTTTGCTATGCTAGCTGCTCCCCCTGCTAGGGCCCCTGTTGCACTTAAACCCGCAAACAAAGTAATAAGAAAAGGTAAAATTCCTCCCACTTTAGAAGGTATCGGTAAAACTCGAGGTTTATTAATTTTTCGCCTGCCACCAGCAATTTTAACTGCCAAACGTGCACCTTCAAGTGCTGATTTAATAGTAGACTGCGCATTTGTATCTAATTTCATAGATTTTTTCGCTGCGGCTACAATCTTTCTCAACGTTGATTTTTTACTTTCCCTCTTTTTCTTCATATTTTTTTTTGATTTAATTCCCATGCCCAACTTTGATTTGACCTTCATTGCATTTGTTATTGCGTAAGCTGCAGCTTTTTCACTATAATTTGCGTCAGGAGCAAACACACCATACCAAGCTTTGTCAGCAAGTACTCTATCAGCTGCGTTTCTCGTTTCTACACTTTCCCTATTTTTCGAATAAGAAATATCGTGCTCTTTACAAGCAGCGTCAAGAGGGTTGATTCCTGGATCACCTCGTGTTAATCTTTTCGCCAATTTTGTTCCTGGACCACAGTATTGATATCCAGGTATATGAAGTTCGAAAGGTAATTTGTTGATAATTTTATTCAAGACACCTCTACCTCGTCTTACTCTTTTCGAAGTTTTCTTTAAACTAGTTTGTTTTTTATTTACACCCATATTTATATTCTTTTCGGTGAGAAAACTTTTTCAAAACTAAAGTGGAAATCTATATAACCAATGTATTTATAGTTTTTTGTCATTTGACTACAAACAGTCGACCTTTAATGATCTAGCAAAAAAATTATGACAGTAATAATACAGTAAATTATGACAGTTGCCTTCAACAGTAAGACCTAACGTAGACCTTGCCCAAAGCATGAAAGAGTTAACCATCGACACAAAATCGCAAACATCTCCTAAGAAATTAGATCCACACAAACGTCCTTATTGGACTTGCATGCAAACGTTACAAGCGTCTACAGTGAACTGACATTAAAACTATTAAAAACCTTGTATTTATAGTTTTAACCTCAGTTATCGTAAGAATGGAGTTTGAAGCACAGTCGATTAAATTGCCAGTCTACAATTTTGACACTCTTGTTCAAGATTGTAATAAAAAAACAGAAAATCGTCATGGAAATTTATTGCCAAATAGTGTGTGAGCAATATTTTGTGGAAAGACAAATGCTTTACTTGCTCTTTTAATTCATCCCAATGGATTACGATTTGAAAATGTTTATCTGTACTCAAAATCGTTATATCAACCAAAATACAAATTTTTAGAAAACATTTTGCAACCAGTAGAGGGTGTTGGCTACTTTCCATTTAATGAACATGTGAATGTTGTAGAACCAAACAATGCGTTACCAAACTCAATATTTATATTTGATGACGTAGCATGTGAAAAACAAGATAATATTAAAGCTTTTTTGCTATGGGAAGACACAAAGCTGTGGATTCTTTTTATTTATGTCAAACATATGCGCGCATTCCAAAACATTTAATACGTGACAATGTTAATTTACTAGTTTTATTCAAACAAGATGAAATGAATCTTAGACATATTTATGATGATCATGTAAATACTGATATGACATTTATAGAATTTAAAAAACTTTGCAACTCTTGTTGGAAAAATAAGCATGATTTTATAGTGTTTGATAAAGATCGTGATATTAATGAAGGTAGATATAGAAAATGTTTTGATTGTTTTATAAAATTAGAGAAATGATATTCTTTGTAAGCAGTTTCATTCAAGACATTGGTCAATCAACATGTCTTCTACACACTTGAAACATTTTCAAAAGCAAAAAGATATTCTTGGTCAAATTGCAAAAGCCAGTGATGCTATTCAACGAAAGCATAGACTGATGAAATTGGGCAAGGAAGAAATTGAACAGACTTTAAATAATACGTTTAAACCTATAGTGACACCAATTCAGAAATTAGTTGACGACATTGAAAGTGTCAAACAAATTCGACCAGTAAAAATTGAAAGAGAGGGAGACCTTCCTTTAGAGTTTGAAGAAGATCAAGAACTTAAGAGAGAGAATGATTCATTTTTAAGAGATGACTTATCATTTGCAACAGCTGCTGATGATGATGATGATAACGGTGATGATATTGATAATGATTATGATGATGATGATGATGATGGAGATGATAATGAAGATGGAGATAAATCAGAGAAAGATGGTGCTATTTTATATCTTCAAATGTTGGATGAAAAGGGAAAAGATTTAGATCCTTCATATGGAGTTCGTAAATTATCTAAAGGGCAATTAATGATTGGTAATTTAGGAATAAATTTTGAACAAAATAATATTAGTGTAGGTAATAAAACATATCCTGCAACGAAAGGTTTACTTGAGCTCTTATTCAAAAAAGTCCCAGAAGAAGCTGTTTTAAGTGTAGTTGATCGAGAAAATTATAAAAATATTGTAATATTAACTAATGCTCATAAAAAATATTACAAAGCAGATGGCGCTGTTAGAGATAAAAAGAGTTTAAAATATCTAAACTATATAGCAGTACATTCTGGTGAAGGTTTAATTCCAGAATATATGACTCAACAAGAAGATACAAAAATTGATTATGTTTATTGGGATGATCCTAATGAATTGGTTGATCGTTTAAGATTGCTCTTGGCATCTCAAGCAGCTGGAAATCCCAGTCATAATAATGAGATTATATCAATTATTGAAGAGTTGAGAAAAGCTAGAATTGTTTATTAATTAACAGTTGTAGAAATTTTTATCATTTTCATGATGAGTATCGACATATTCGGACGTCAGTTTAAAAGCACAGAAACTTCAAATCGAGGTCCTCCAGAACTTGGTTTTAAGTTGACTAGTGAAGGAGATTTTAATATTGAAAATAAGAAACTTTGTAACGTAGCTGATGCTGAGAGCAACAGTGATGCAGTAAACTTGAATACTGTAAACAAAGTAATTGAATCTAAAGCGAACGCCATCTATGATGTAATCGGTTCTGTGAGAAATGATATAAATGACAATGTTGTAAAGATTTCAGAGATAGAAGATTTGATAAAAAAATATTTTGAAAATCTAAGAATCAGTATTGAAAGAAATATAGAGATGATGTCTACCAGCAAAGAGATTATTTTACAATTAGACAGCAGACTGCGCACACTTGAAGGTAATTAACAATGGAGGATCAAAAACTACAGTTGGTGAAAGAGTTACATAAACCAGCGAGAAAAAATTATAAGCGAAGAAATGTTGATATTCGAGGTATTGACGAGACTTGGCAAGCTGATCTTGTTGAAATGCAACCTTATGCGAGAGAAAATAAAGGTTACAAGTACCTGCTAACCGTCATTGATACATTTTCAAAGTTTGCTTGGGCTGTTCCAGTAAAGTCCAAAAAAGGTGAAGATGTGACTGCGGCAATGAAATCTATTTTATTTAAAAAACGTATACCAAAAAATTTGCAAGTAGATAAAGGAAAAGAGTTTTATAATTCACAGTTTGAAAATCTCATTAAAAGTTATAACATTAACTTGTATTCTACGCATAGTAATTTGAAAGCGTCAATTTGTGAGCGATTTAATCGTACTTTGAAGAATAAAATGTGGATGCAATTCAGTTTACGCGGTAATTACAAATGGATAGACATATTAAGTGATTTAGTAAATGCGTATAATAATAGTAAACATCGGACAATAAGAATGAAACCGAAAGATGTAAATGCTCAAAATGAAAATAATTTATTGTTAAATGTATTTAAAAAAGTTGCAGTAAACAGGAAATATAATAAGAAATTTAAAGTTGGAGATAGAGTACGTATAAGTAAAGTTAAACATGTTTTTGAGAAATGTTATACACCAAACTGGACTACAGAAATATTTACTATAAGCGATGTAAAAAATACTAATCCAATAACATATATCTTGAAGGATTATCAGGAAAATCTAATAAGTGGATGTTTTTACGAGCAAGAACTTTCTAAAGTTAAATATCCAGATGTATATTTAGTTGAAAAAGTATTAAAAAACGAGGATCTAATGTATTTGTAAAATGGTTAGGTTTTGATAATTCTCATAACAGTTGGATAAACGAATCTGAATTATAATGTATTTGAGAAAGGTTAAAATAAAAATAAATTGAATTGTATGCATTCTTGTATTTATTTATCCTCTCTTTTACAATAAACGACCATTTATACATTGAATATATGACATTTGATGAATAGCTTCATTTGATAATTGTTTGCAGTGAAATGTGACAAGTTCCAGCAATAACGTCTCTAAATTTAAAATATTAGTTCTTCCCATCACTTTTTGAAGTATTCTACTGTAATGTTTTTTAATAAAATCCGTGGCATGTTTTGTACACATTACATTATTTTTAAAGATTAATTCTGCAATAGACTTTACAATTATATCTTTACTATACTGCAAATTGAATTTTGATAGTTCTACATATTTTTGTTTGACACAAGGAATAAGTTCATTAAATATTGCAAATGACGTTTCACTAAATGTAAAAGATTGATCTAAACGCTCAATTAATATTAAACGATATGTAACACTAAAACGTATTGTAAACGTTTCACAATCCAATACTGTTGCATCACAATCTCCATTGAAAAATCGTATGATATGTTTTACTGCATCACACAAAAAGGCGCCATTTTTGAAGCTCCAAAGACAATGATACTCGTGGATGGCTGCTTCTTAGTTGAATTTTTGGTATTATATTTCCATTTGTGTCCAGTTCTGCTCCAACAACAGCTTGTTTTGTAAATGATTGATTTAAGTTGTAAATTTTTGATAATAACATTTCTCGACATGGTAAATATGACATTTTTTTGTCTTCTACTGGTCAACTCCCTCAGGAACAAACTCTATTTGATTGTAAAGTCCTCCACGATTTCTTAAATATACACCACTTCTTGTAGCTTCTGCTTTCAGACTGTTGAAAAGATTTGCATCCTCTTCAAATATTTTTAGCATTCTTGGTGGTAGAAAAATGTTAAAATCATTATTTATTTCAGCAATAATTTTCGGACCAAATTTCGTATCAATTTTTCGAATGTCTGTTACTTTATAGAATGCATCGATGGTTAACTCCTTTATTGTTTTGGTGACCAAGACTTTGCTTGCCTTGTTTAATTTATCGAAATTCATTTTTATCACTAAAGTTTAAATTTTCAAATTTTTTCACTAAAATATTTAACTGTGACCTTTCTTCAATTAAACTTTTAACTTTATCAATTTCTTGTATTAATTTGTTTAATCGCACTTGAATTTCACTATGCTTTGCTAATAATATGTTCATCAGCCAACTTAAACTGAAGGAATGATTTCGTTTAGAAAAATTGCTCTCTTTATATACACAAGATATGACCTATTTAACCTTTAATTTAATTATAGTTTTCTTAGAATTGCGGTAAGATCAAAAGCATTTTTATGAAAAGTACCGAAAATGTTGACCGGAAGCAATAAATCAAAGATATCATAAACAACAAGTACATGAGAAGAATTCCTTAGATAAGAATCTAATAAACAGGATATCAAATTACATGTAAAACAATAGCTTAAATAAAGACAATAATTACAAGAAATAAATAGGTATCAAATTACACGTAGGAAAAATTCCTTAGATAAATCCCAAACCGGAAGCAATAAATCAAAGACATTATAAACAACAATGTCATATCCGCCTCAGAATCATGGACTGAATCGCACCCTCCCCCAAATGGTTTGAGTCTGGACTAAAAGTGTCGGTGCAGGAATGTGTATGACGTCATTTCCGCCTAATCATCAAGATCTTACCCCCCCACTTAAGGGTTTGAGTCTTGGTTAAGTGGTTTGAGTCTGGGCTAAAAGTGTCGGTAACATGTCGGTGCAGGAATCTGTATATACAACCCTCCCTGTATGTCTACTAAGATTTCGACTATATCAGCAATTAGTGACATCTATTAGACGTCGCTTGAACTCTTTGGTTTAGAGTCAGGTGTTATTCTTAAGATAATTATTCCGATATGGTTGTCGGTAAATAATTATATTTTTTAAATTTAATTTTTGACCTTAAAAAATAAGCTGCGTGAACGACTGCACTGTGCATCTGTGAGGACTCAAACCCCAGTTAATAGCTGCCTTTCGCGGGACTAACGCCTACCAATGCACCATGCCAACACAGCCTGGACGACCTATTAACTGGGGTTCGATTCTGCACAGTGCAGTCGTTCACGCAGCTTATTTTTTCAGATCAAAAATTAAATTCAAAAAATATATTTATTTACCGACAACCATATCGGAATAATTATCTTGAGAATAACACCTGACTCTAAACCAAAGAGTTTAATCGACGTCTACTAGATGTCACTAATTGCTGATATAGTCGAAATCTTCCTTAATCAAAATATTTTTTGAGTTGTAGAGTGAGAAAGAAATACAAAAAATTATCAAATTTTCTCATTTTTGTCTCTTGACTTCAACTTTTTAAAAAATCTAGAAAAATTTAGAAAAAATTTTTTCTAAAAAGACAGAAATCTTGGTTAGAATTTCAGCTTTAGAATAAGCCTTCGAAAATTAAAAAAGGTTAATCCGTCTTAGATATATTATCATTAAAAATGTGATGCCGTGTTTCGACGATTGGTGCATTGGAGTTTAACTGTGACGACTAGATTCTAGCTTTGTGTGGTTGCGAATGGGAGAGAAAACAGGGACGGATTCATGCTGGGGAATAATAAATAATGATGTTTCACAAGTAATATAAAGAAACTAATCGTTCGAAACACGGCTTTACATTTTTAATGATATGTCAAAGACGGATTAATCTTTTTTAATTTTCGAAGGCTTATTTTAAACCTAAAATTCAAACGAAGATTTCTGTGTTTTTAAAAAACTTTCATCTAAATTTTTTGAGATTTTTGAAAAAGTTGAAGTCAAGAGACAAAAATGAGAAAATTTGATAATTTTTTTCATTTATCTCTCACTCTACAACTTAAAAAATAGTTAACAAAATGACTTCAAAGACGGCTTATTTTACGCAAAACTTAATCAGCTTTCTAACCGTATTTAAGATTTTTTTTATCTCCTTTTATTTACGAGATATGATTGAATAAGTGATGGCATGTTTTTTCATAGAGTCGCGTGTTATCGTCCTGATACTCGTGGACGGTTAGTGTAATAATAAAAAATATTTTACTATTTTTGACCAATTTGGACATCTTTGATTTGGGAAGTTTAATAGTTTAAAAGTTATGAAATATTTTGTGAGCCGCTGCATGTCGTTGCGTCAGCTAATTCGAGTTTTCTTTTCTTTATATCTAAGTTTGTTACATTGTTTTTATTTTTTACGGTTTGTTTTCTTGGAAGTGAATAAGAATTTTACAATTTTATCTAGAATGTGATACTATTTTTTCGTTTTATTCATTTAGTAATTTTAAATTTAACTTTTACTGAAAAGCATGCCGTAAAAATTAATCACTTAAATTTTAAGTTTTATTTATTTATTTCTTTACTTTTTTGGAAGTTACACTTTTTCCTTGAATTAAGCACAACATTGAAATAAATATTATTATTTTATCACACTACAAACTTATAAGTAAACCCTAATGAAGAACTAATTCAGTTCAAACGAAAAATAGCTAGCAGTAACGGGGAGCGAACTCGGGTCACACTCTATACCGGCAGGTAAAGCAGTTCACTTTTTTATCTTTTCTAGCTCAACTGTCAAATTACTAGATAGTTACTAGTAGTATAGCTATACCATTACTGGACCATAGTTTCAACGGCTGCTGCTCTGTCGGCAGAAAATTAATATAACCTTGGTTGGGGTCTTTGGAATTAATTTACAACAAAATATTTTCTTGGCGAATTTAAATTTTTGCGCCTAGTGTCGGCAATGTGTTACCAGAAATCCACCAACGCACCAACAAATTATGTTGTGAAATTAAAAAATTTTTTCAAATTAAAAATAGTAAAAAGTGAAATTATATTAAATTATAAATAAGTGAAATTAAAAATTTTATTTATACTATAAAATAGTGAACAGTGGAATTGGCATGCCAGTGAAATTATATAAAATTGTAAATTTTAATTATGGCAGAATTAATACAAGTCGGAAAAAAATTATTTACATATCGAAGGATTTCTGTATTACAAGCATTCAGATGGAAAAAATAATTTGAAATATTGGAGATGCTTTATTTTTTCAAACAAATTCAATACTTTTAACTTATTTAACAATTCAACACTTTTTATTTTGGAAATTTTTTTTGGAAATTTCGCACTTTGGAAAATGTATATTTTGGACATTTTGGGCTTTGGAACTTTTGTACTGTGGAAATATAAATTTTGGATCTTTTCATTTTGGAACTTTTTTCTTGGAATTTTTCGATTGGAACTTCCGTTTTGGAACTTTTGTACCCCAATCATTTATTTACTTATTTCATTAAAAAATGGAATTAAAATAATTAAACACCCTTATTTAATTTTAAAAAAGAATTATAATGTAATTAAAATTATAATTTTATAAAATGTATGAAAACGCTTTTATATATTATTATATTTATTGTAGGGAAACATTTTCCCAACCAAATCTGAGGAATCAAAAATTAGTAAACCTCGAAGAATATATAGTCTGAAGCCAGAAGAAATAGATAATGAGTGAAACAGAGAGACGTGAAGCAGAGAGAATTGAAATAGAGAGACGTTAAGCAGAGAGATTTAAAACAGAGAGACGTGAAGCAGAGATAATTGAAACAGAGAGACGTGAAGCAGAGAGAATTGAAACAGAGAGACGTGAAGCAGAGATACGTAAAGCAGAGATACGTAAAGCAGAGAGACGTGAAGCGGAGAGAATTGAAACAGATAGACGTAAAAGAGATAGACGTGAAAGGGACAGGAGTGATACACAGAGGCGTGAAAGGAAAATAGAAAGGCGAGAAAAGGAGAGACTTGAAATGGAAAAAAGTAATAAGAGAAACGTGAAAATACATTGAAAACAAACATTTCTGAAATGAATGGAAATCAAATGCAACGCGAAGAAATTCATAAAAATATCATTGAACAGGTAAATAAAAGATTATTTTAACAGTTATTGGGTCAGAATTTCTCAAACGGATCACCTAAAACTAAAAAATGTTCGTTTCAAACCAAAATAGTTTTTTTGACGCTTAATATGGCTAAGAAAAATCTCTGAAAATATTAAGCCAAAAAAAATTTTTTTGTAAAAGTAATTAACAATTGAATTTTTTAGTACTGCTAAATTAACAAATTTTTTTTCGCGTTCCAGTTGACGGATTTTAAAATTAAAATATGGGTTTTTTTCGTCTTGAATTGCACTATGTGAATATATTTTTTGTTTTTAAATTTTTTTATTTTTTATATAATTTGTTTATAAAATGTTAATAAACAAATATGTTCTTCACGTCCTAACAAAAAAATTAAAATTGGATTCTATTCCTTAAATGTCTCCGAGTGTAAAACCGTTTCGAAAAAAATGAGCCTTAATTAGAAAAAAAGTTATTAATTAAAAACTGCAGCTGTGTAGAGCTTTATATGATGCTATTCTCGCCCCGCGCACATTGGCATTTCTTACAATTTACTGTTCAAAATTGTCTGTAACCTACAAATTTTATCGGATTTTCATTGGCTTGGTCTTAAATTAAAGGGGATAAAATTTATTAGAGATTCCACTAAACCAATTTTTGAATTTGAAATTGTTTATATTTTTTTTGTTACTCAAAGTTAACAATTTACAATATTTTTAGAAAAAATCATGTTTATTTTTTTATTTTTTCATTGCAGATAATTGGAATTAATTTAAATTAGTCCACCATGATCACCAGACAAATAATAATGCATAATACAATTTATTTAAATTGCTGCAAACAATGCTAATTAACAAATAGGTAATTTTGGTTTTTTTTTAAATTTTTTTTTGCTGACAAATTTATGTTTATTTAAGTAATCTATGTCGATTTTAGTAAAAAATTATTTTGAATTTAATAATTACCATTGTTATTAACAATCATGTGAACTATAATCAAGTTTCTTTAACTTTTGTAAACATTTTAGGCATTTTTAAAACATAAACTGTTTATATAATATGTACATTCTTTCAAAAACTTTAAAAATTTAAGCACAAACAATTACATTTGCTGTAAACAAATTATTTACTTTTTAAACAAATAAATGGCTTATTTCTGCAAAAGAAAAATTATTTTTCCTATTTTAACGAGTTTAAAGTCATGTAAAGCTCTACTTGATTATTGATAACTATATTATTGTTCATATGATTGTTAATAACAATGGTAATTATTAAATTAAAAATAATTTTTTACCAAAATCGACATAGATTATTTAAATAAACATAAATTTGTCTGCAAAAAAATTTTTTTTAAAAAAAAACCAAAGTTATCTATTTGTTAATTAACATTGTTTGCAACAATTTAAATAAATTGTATTATGCATTATTATTTGTCTAATGGTCATGCTGGACTAATTTAAATTGATTATAATTATCTGCAATGAAAAAATAAAAAAGTAAACATGATTTTTTCTAAAAATATTGTAAATTGTTAACTTTGAGTAACAAAAAAAATATAAACAATTTCAAATTCAAAAATTGGTTTAGTGGGATCTCTTAGAAATTTTATCCCCTTTAATTTAAGACCAAGCCCATGAAAATCCGATAAAATTTGTAGGTTACAGACAATTTTGAACAGTAAATTGTAAGAAATGCCAATGTGCGCGGGGCGAGAATAGCGTCATGTAAAGCTATACACAGCTGCAGTTTTTAATTAATAACTTTTTTTCTAATTGAGGCTCATTTTTTTCGAAACGGTTTTACACTCGGAGACATTTAAGGAATAGAATCCAATTTTAATTTTTTTGTTAGGACGTGAAGAACATATTTGTTTATTAACATTTTATAAACAAATTATATAAAAAATAAAAAAATTTAAAAACAAAAAATATATTCACATAGTGCAATTCAAGACGAAAAAACCCATATTTTAATTTTAAAATCCGTCAACTGAAACGCGAAAAAAACATTTGTTAATTTATTAGTACTAAAAAATTCAATTGTTAACCCCTTCGCAGTCAAGACTAAAATCTCATAAGTGGGCTCAAAATGTCGACAACTTTTTAGAAAACTAAAATTTGCGCAAACGAGCATACTATTGTATTTGAAGTCGCTGATTACGAATCCGATATCAGATTTTGAAAATTCAAAATGGCGGATCCAATATGGCGGACATGAAAATGAAAAATCGACTGAATTCACTTGAAACTTGTTACTCAGGGGTTTTCGGGGTCGCTGATTACGAATCCAATATCAGATTTTGAAAATTCAAAATGGTGGATCCAATATGGCGGACACCATTTTTTAAAATTCATCAGATTCACTTGAAACTTTTTACTCGAGGGTTTTCAGGGTCGCTGATTACCAATTCGATTTAAGATTTTGAAAATTCATATTAGCGGATCCAATATGGCGAATGAAGTTTTCTAAAATTCATCGTTTTCATTTGAAACTCGTTACTAGAGGGTTTTCGCTGATTACGAAAAACTTTTGAAACGATAATAAATACAAAATTTTCCCCCGCAGTCAGTTGTTAAATATACTTTTTTACTTACGACCCCAGAGACTTTTACAAAAAAATTTTTTTTGGCTTAATATTTTTAGGGATTTTTCTTAGCCATATTAAGCGTCAAAAAAACTATTTTGGTTCAAAAAGAAAATTTTTTAGTTTTAGGTGATCTGTTTGAGAAATTCTGACCCTATTATGAAAACTATTCTTAAATTTCATAAAGTTTTTATATGTATATATATATAATAATATATAATATAATATAATATAATAATATATATAATATATAATAATATTATTAATATTAATATTATTATAATATTATATAATAATAATTATATAATAATTATATTCCCGAATTATTATTCAATATAATTCAAATATTACCGAATTACCAATTCTTAAAAAATTTATTGTTCCTAATAATATTTTTTTATAATGTGTAAATGTTCTATATTTTAAAGTTTCTAAATTTTATTTTTTCGAAATATCATTTGTTATAAAACTTTTTTCTTATAAATGTCTTTCAAAATAATTTTAACTTTTTCGAATTAACATTACTCATAATTTTCTTTACTTCTAATCATTCTTCTTTATAATTACTATATTTTCTAACATGTATTTTTTCTAACTATAACTTTACCGAATTGTCACTTCTCACAATTATTATTATATCGAAATATTATTTTTCAAAATTTTTGTAGTATCTAATAATTTTTTATACAAATTTTTTTATTGTATAATAACTAGTTTTTACAATTTTATTTTATTGGAATAATTATTTCGTATAATTTTATTCTTACCGAAATTATATTTTAAATAATTTTTTTTAATCGATTTTTTATTTTTCCTAATATTTATTTTTCCAAATAATTCATTTTCATAATTTTTATATTTCCTAATTCGTATTTTAGATAACATACATTTTTTCTAAGATTTAAATTCTCTAATTTATTATTTTCCTAACCTATAAATGTCATAATAAGAATTGCACTGAATAGTTATTTCACCTACAGAATATCCGGTTTCGACGTTTCCCATCTCTGAAGAATATGGCGCCAAATTTGAAAAATGTTTATTATTTTATTATTTAAAAATTATTAATTACTATAAATATTGTTTAAACCAATTAACAACGCTAAATATTATAAGGAAATTTGTTTTAAACAATATTTGTAATAATTAATAATTGTTATATAATAAAATAATAAACATTTTTCAAATTCGGCGCCATATTCTTCAGAGATGGGAAACGTCGAAACCGGATATTCTGTAGGTGAAATAACTATTCAGTGCAATTCTTATTATGACATTTATAGGTTAGGAAAATAATAAATTAGAGAATTTAAATCTTAGAAAAAATGTATGTTTTGTAAAATACGAATTAGGAAATATAAAAATTATGAAAAAGAATTATTTGGAAAAATTAATATTAGGAAAGATAAAAAATCGATTAAAAAAAATTATTTAAAATATAATTTCGGTCTTTGTCGATTTACTCGGACATTTTTGTTTTAATTAAGTGTTTATCTCTTAAAAAGTTACTCTGGTATCTTAGCTTTCTTTTAAAAAGACCAACGTCCCTATATTATGCTTACTTTTTTTCTATAATGAACGTACACTTCGTCGGAATCGTAGGTTGCTCTTTATACATAGCCTGTTTCATTAGCCAACACGCCCTAGGGGTACTTGGAAAATATTTTTTAATTTTTATCAATACTGTAAGTGTGAATCAAAAATCTCAAATTGACCCTCAAAAAATGTTTCAAGCTTAAAACGCGATTTTAATTTCTTTTTTAAAGTTATTTTTAAAAAATTAGAACGAAAAAATGAAAATTTTGAAAAGTTACTTTCATATGTGAAATACAGTTTTTCTACTATATTTCTTACAATAGTGATTGAATAATAAATAATCAAACTTTGTAGAAACTTGCAGTATATCAAGTTGTCTTTGGAGCGAAATCATTTCGATTTACGATTTTTAAATAAATTATAATTATTCATTACGCCCCTTAGCCATTATGTCTCATTCCTCCTATATACGTGATTTGTAAATATATATCAAATGTATGATTAAAAACATGTAAATCCGGATACAGTGAATGTGATAGTTTAATTGTTATAAGAAAAACTTTAAATTTACTGAAGATTTAAAAATGAACAATTAGATAAATTTTCTGCATGATTTTTTTAAAAGAACGTCCAAGCGCCTAAACTTTCGGTAGGACCTTCCGGCAGGACGCGCCTCTTACATAATTTATTAAATATATTAACAAATATTGTTATTATATGTTATTTTGAGCTTAAACAAGAAATTCACTTAGATTTTGAAAAAATTGCCATTTTTAATGCTATACAAATATTTGAATAACT